AATAAGGGTGGTTTGAACGGTTTTGTTAAATAAGGGTGGTTTGCATGCGCACGCGCGCACACACATATATGTAGAGGTGGGTTATTATACAACCTCTTACATTTGTACAACCAATACAACTCAATCTCAACCGTTCATTTAATTTGATGAATATGTAATTTATAGAAGTTTTGATTATTTCCTGATATAAAGTATTAATCATAATTAATGATCCGTATTCATATTCCATAAATATTTAAATCATAATAAATGAACTCTTATCATTTCCATAAATATTTTAATTTATTGGGTTGCATTGGTTGTACAAATGCGATAGGTTGTATTTGAAACAAACTCCATATATGTATGTATGTTTGTGTGTGTGTATATATATATATAGAGAGAGAGAGAGAGAGAGATGAGCGATCAAATGCAAACCACCCAATTTACCACACTCATCCGTCAAGTTTATTGTTTAATCTTATGAAATTTTTTCATATAATTGTTTAATCTTGTGAAATTGTTTCATATAATACTTTTTTTTGATAAAGTTGTTTCATATATGGTTATGAAAATGTTTCATATAATTAATACTTAATAAAATTTTAATGAAACGGTTCCATGTATTTCTCTAAAATTAAAATAATGAAGATGATAATATCAATGATTACCACCCTCCACAATAAAAATGATTAATCAACCTCTTATAATTACAAAAAAAATGAACAAAATTAAAAATTATGATTGGTTGAATAAAGTTTGTACGGTTTGTACAGATAACATGGTTTGCAAAGTAAACCTTATCTTCCTCCTCCTCCTCTCTCTCTCTCTCTCTCTCTCTCTCTCTCTATATATATATATATATATATATATATATATATATATATATATATAAGGATGAATTCACGTGAGACCTGTCTGTTTTTTGGAGACCATTTTTTTACAGTTGAAACTTTACAACAAAAAGATGTGAAGGTAAAAAAAACATGAACTTTCACAACAAAAACATTGTGAAGGCTACCTTCACAACGTTTTGTTGTCAAATTTCAAGTGCAAAAATGTAGTCTCACGAAAACAGACTGTTTTCATGTGATCCCAAGTCTCTCTGACTCTCTCTCTCTCTCTCTCTCTATATATATATATATATATATATGTGTGTGTGTGTGGGTGTGTGTGTGTATAGGTGGTTCAAATAAGAATATAAAATCATTGAAAACCAAGAGAATTAGTTATTCATGATGAATATCATTGAATAATTACGAATATTAATTATCATGCATTTTCATTCTTTATGATTTAATGCATTGTTATCAAGATATCAGATATGTTCTTTATCATTAATATCATGATGTATTTTCATTATGAATAATTTTCGTCAAGATTATCTAATACGACATTTATCATGGATAATTATTATTCAATGTTATTCATCATGAATATTTGGTTCATCGGGTTCCCAATGAATTTGAGGTTCTAAATGGAACCCACCCGACACACACATATATATATATAGAGAGGGAGAAGGGGGTTGGGTTCACGTGAGACCAAAGGTTTTTCGTGAGACCCGTAAGACCAATTTATGTTTATTGATCAATTTTATAAGCTAATGATCTAAAGTTGTACGGTGACAATTTTGTGATTATTGAGAAGTCTCGTGGCATTTATGAATGTTCAGATTGTCATATTGTAGATCTAATCCAAGGGTTGAGAACTGGTTTTACGGATCCTAAGTATATATATATATATATGTGTGTGTGTGTGTGTGTGTGTGTGTGTGTGTCGCGCACACGCATACATGTATGCATGGGTGTGCATACGTGTGTGCATGTATGTGTCTTTGGCATGTTGGAGTTTCATATCGACTAGACTTAATTAAGCTAGTATTTTATATATGTTGGAATCCCTTTCTCTTACACCTAAAGAGACCCCTAATGGGTTCCACATAATCTCACAAATAATATAACCCCAAATTTACTGTTATACCCTTCTCTAACATCTAAATAGTGCAAGATTTCATTTTGGAAATTAAGAATTGGTGTTAGAATTGATGCAAAATCTGGGATTTGGTGTTGGGCTAGAGATGCTATTATAGCTATGTTTGGCAAACTAACTGATAAATTAGCCGTTAGCTTATAAGTTAGTTGATGAACAAATCATGTTTGACAAAACTAGTTGATAAGAATGTAAAATGACCAAAAAAACATCTTGAAAAATTAACCAATTATAATATTTTTCAAAATATAATTGAAACAAATCTCTAACAATATAATATATAAACTACTACAAACAAGATGATAAAAAATTTAAAAATATAATATATTGATTAAAAGAATTTCAAATTGATTATTA